GGGGGGGGGGGGGTAAGCTTGCATGTGGCAGCAACTACCACTGCCATCCACCACTGTGCTGCCACTGCTCTGCTTCTGGCCACGCACCACCCCCAGCCCCCTGCTGCTCCGTGTAGGGCTGCCAGGTGTACACTTATTAAAAAAGGTTAAAAACCCATGGTCTAGGTCTTTAAAATCTTAAGCCTACTCTCCAGCATATCTACTACTCCCAGCCCCCACCCAGCTTGGTGTCATCAGCAAACTTGCTGAGGGTGCAGCACTCTGTTCCATCTTCCAGTTACTCGATGAAGATATTGAACAAATCCAGACCCAAGACCAACTTAATGTCTAGTCAGCAGCCAGTATCGAGTCATTGACTACTACCATCTGAGCCTGATGTTCCAGCCAGTTTTTTATCCGCCTTAAAGTTTGTTCACCTAACCCATACTTCCTTCATTGAATAAACTAGAGATTTTATTGAATCACTAGATCCCTTAACACAAAAACAGCATATCTTTATAAAAAATATGGATTCAAGGCAGAAGTGGGAAAACTCCCTTAACTTTTAGTTAAGTTTTTATCACAGAGCAAACATTCAAGGATTGCAAGTTGTTCCAGCACACATGCCAGAACATGGCACGTGAGGCAGTTTTCCTTGGCATACCACAGCTGGGCCAGGCTCTGGGCAGCCAAGAGGCTGCAGGTAGACCAGGCCCTGTGGCAGGTAGCAGCTGCCTAGAGCCCAGGCTGGCTGCAGCCAGGAGGCTACAAACAGGTGCATGGAGATCCGCAGCCCCGGCACTGGCTGCGGTGGCTGTGTTCATGCCTCCAGGCACAGGGCCAGGAAGGGGCCTGGGGCAGTGCAGCCCTGGCCCTTCCTGCCCCCTCCCATCTGCCTGGAGGCATGCGTGCAGCAGATGCCACCATTGAGCCAACACTGAGACTGTGGATCCCAGCACAGGTGTCTGCAGCCTCCTGGCTCCCTGCCACAGCCGGCCTGGGCTCTGGGCAGCTGCAGCAGGTGGAAGGCAGGCTGCAAACATCTGTGCTAGGCTCCAGAGCCCTGGCACTGGCTCTGTGGCAGCAGCTGCTGCATGCATGCTTCATGGCACATGGTGGTAAAAGGGCTGGAGCAGCCCCATCCCAGCCCCTCCCCCACCATCTGCTCAGAGATGCATGTGCAGCCACCATGAGCAATTAGGATCAGGCTCCCCAGCCCCACCACCTCTGGCATCCCAAGTCAAGGCATGGATGAAGGCTGGAGTGTTTTGGGCACTTCAGCCAAAAACATTGCCAACCCCTGCTCTAGCATCTACATATCTTACAAAAACCTAGTTACTTGTGGTAGCTTTTGCTGGAGAACAGTCACTGCAATATTGTGCTAGTGTAAGGGAACCAGAAAGGAAGAACAAACTGTGTTTGGATTCATGTCTTGCATTTAACTTATCCTGGGAAATTTAAGCAAAAACAAGCTACAGAGAAACTAAAAGACTAGGAGGACTTACTTAGATAGGTTATATTCTGGATACAATGTTTGAGGGAGAGGGGCAGAATTAGATTTCATAGACACTAGTGCTGGAAGGGACCCCAGAGGATCAGCAAGTCCAGCCCCCTGCCCTAGGGGCAAGAAGTCAGCAGAGATCATAGGATCCCAGCAAGATAAAAAGCCTTAATTTATCAGTAACTTTAAGCATCTAGTGTATTTGCCTTCTGTTTTACAAGCCTTTATCATATCCAGGCTTTCTTTTACAACAACTAGAATTTCTTAAAAGAATCTTAAGCCTGTTTAAACCTGCCTCCTGCATTTGGGGCTTTTAGGAGAAAACCAGAGATGAGCTATCAATGTCATATTCATAGTATGGACTGGTTTGCTGTCTCAGTTTGGTTGCGACTCATCTCTTGGTTCAGCTAGACTTGAACAACCCCACAAAGGTTAACAACTTTAATTAAGGGTTTCCTGACATTTGTTACCCACGAATATTGTGCTGCTGCCATTATCAGAGGTCTGGAGTTTGGTTTTTTTTCCCCTTTAAATACCTCTTATCTGTTGCTAGTAGCATGTAGACACCTGTTCTTTGGTTCAGTCTTCCTTATGTCACCATGAGGGTTTGAAAAGGTCATGCAAGGAGAAAGATGGCTATCAGTGGCAGAACACTTGCACTGCTGCAAGAATACTTAGTGTACCATTGCTTTTTAACAATTGGTCACCGTCACTATTTTTGAAAGATGCACATTTCTTTGTTGTGGGGGGTGGTCTTTAAATTTAACACTGTCCCTTTTCCTGATTAACTTTACTTAATTGTTGATAAGAAATTCTGACTCTTTTTGGCTACCTTGCCAAATCTGACTTAACTTGGCCTGAATCATCTACCTCCACAGAAGCCAGGCAAAAGATAAGTGGTGATTATTTGAGGCTGAAATGGATGGATTATAAATTATTCCAATCGCTTCCCAAGTCTCCCATACATGAGACATCATGTATGTATGTATGTATGTATATGTTGCATGTGAGTGTGTGTATCATATGCACACTTTAATGAATCTGTTATCTTTCTTTCAGTTTGGACCACACATGCTGAAGTCTACAGGAAAAATGAAGACACTAATTGAAAAATCTTAGTATAGTGTCAGTACAGGATAGACTACGTATTTAGCAGTTTCTGTTAGTCAGTGCTATGTAACAAGTGTCTGGTGTTAAGTGGTCTCCTACAAAACAAAGAAATATCAACGTAAAATAAGTTTAGTGCCTTTCAGTTTTACAAGTTGAAGGGCTGGAGGGTACTTGAAGGTATGTGGCTTTTAACAAGGGTGTGGAAAGTGAAAAACCCATACTCAGGTATTAATCCTGTATTTAAAGTCTTTCATTCATCATTGTAAATGCATGGTGATTATAGTTTATTAACACTAACTTATCTCTGCAAATTTTTACAAATATAAATGACAGCCTTAAACTAGTCTGTCAAAATGGTAATGCTGAGGGTGAAATGCCCTTAAATTATTGTGACATTTGTTACATAGCCATTACTTGCACTATAGTGTTTAGTCTGAGACTAAGCTCATTCGGAATCTCGTGTTGAAATTCTTTTAATGTGACTCTTGTATTAAGCCCAAAAAAGCATAAACTTCTCAACCAAATGTCAGACTATTTCTCCTTCCTAGTAAAACTGAGTAGAGATATCCAAGTAAAAGCTTGAGTATTCATGAACTGAAAAAAATCCCAAAGGAGCAAGCTTCTTGAAGTCTCTCAAATGGGCCTGCAGAAGGCAAACACTGTAGGAGAGAACTGAACAGCACAGCTAAGACAGTGCATTGAAGATGGATTTGATCATGAGCAACAGGCTACAGCCAGAACTGACCTGTCCCACTGCAGTTCTGTGAGTGTGAAAGAAGGTAAAACAGCACTGTAAGCTACAGTGTTTGAGAGAATGTCAGGGTGTGTGTTAGCAACCCCAGAAGTTTGGGAGTTAGAGGTATAGAAGGGCTCTCCCTGAACAGAAGGGATGTGTCAGTTGCAGCTTACAGCTTTCTTGTATGCTGCGATTTTGGCTACAGCCTGATGGTTACAGAACTGATGCATACTTTAGGCCCCCCTGGGCTCAAGGTGGATTTCCAGCAGCCAGGAATAGCTGCTGGAAATATTCAATACACAGTAATATTCTGACCATGCTTTCTGCACTGTCAGCTCCAGGAAAGCAGTTCTGTAATAACTGCTGCACAGCTTGAGTTGGTGGAAAAATCCTCCAGAGACATGCCATAGTAGCTATTTGCTGCCAGACCAGCATAGAACTGGCATGTTGGGGGGAAGACCAGCTGTGGCTATATTTCTCCATGCATTTTTATTTCAAGGGGAAAAAAGTGAAACTTTAGCCCAGGTGCATCCTGCAGGCATCAAGAGAACCAGAGAAGCAAATCCACTACAAATGTAATTTGGTTTCAGATAAAATAAACTGAAAACAAGGTCTACTTTGAATGTAGCTTTAATTAAAGCTGGATTAAATAGTTGAGCTGAATTGCAAGAGTTCCTTAACTTTCACTATCAAGTAATAAAAAAAAAAAAAAGCATTTCAGCAAGGTACAGAACATGTTACTCAGTAAGCAGGGACTTGGGTAGCATAATTTAAAAGGGTGTCATTTCTGATGCAAAATTTTTAAATGATTTTAATGGTAAATATTTACTCCACTTAAAAGTTCTGATTCTGAACAGCTGAAGTCCTTTTACCATGTTCTTCTGTAGGCTTAAAACTGTTCTTCAAAATCACAAACTACTTGGTCTCACTATTTTGTATTTAAGTGGTTTTAATTTTTAAAAATAAAAATGCTCCCTTGGGAGAGTCTGTCATGATTGTGTACATTACTTCCTATTTACAAAAAGCCAGAAGCCCTTGGGAGCAGAAGCATCATGGACCTGTGACAAAATGCTTTGTACGTGCCTGAAATGGTGTAAAAGGTAGCTAGAAAAAGCAGTATATTGACATTTGACTTCCAGGTATCCACTATTGGACTCACTGTTCTTAAAACTGCTGCTCCTGCAAACTCTCCTTCACTTAACTAGCAGCTGCCAGTTCTACAGGTCAGTTACTATAGTTGCAGAAACACAAAAGTGCAGTGAATTAAATTTGAGTACCTGGGGTGGGGCAGGTAAGGATAGGCAAACCACAGTAGACTGGAATAGAGGAAGGTAGCATGGATGATGATGGGGAGAAAAAAAAGTCATGACACTCCTGGGGCTGTATTCTAGCACCCCCTCATAGCCTGTGCCTTTGCATTACCCACCTCTGCCTTAGTTATGCCAGTGTGAAAACCCTATCAGGCAACTCTTTCAAATGTCACTTCCTACTTCAAGTAGTAGTTGTAATTGATTCACTTTTCACTATCACTAGATCATCCAGTTTTTCCTTCCTCTTCCTAGGGCACCAGTTTTATTTTCCTGTTGGTGTTTCTTATGCTATTCCTGGTGAATGGGGTCAGGTTTGTGTGTTTTTACCTGCTGCTTTTTCTTAAGAGGCTTCCCTAGCAACAAGTGAGTGGGTGTGGTATCTGCATTTCTCTAAGTTGCTACAGAGTCCTTATTAAGCTCAGCTCATGTGGCCCGTGTCAAAGTTTACTGGTAATCTTGTATTTACTCCCAAATCAGGATAGATTCTGAAAGTGTCTGGGTAACTAACTTAAAAAGAATAAGCATAGTCCTACTTTCAAGTCTTTGAAGTGTAAGTTCTCATATTTAATCATAGTAAATAGGGCTACAATATTTACTGTTCAAAACCACAACCATTTCCTCACTTCATATTAAGGGTCATCTTATGAAGTGAATCTCAAAGGCCATTCTGTTTAGGCACACAGAGACATACAAGTGAAATGGGCTTGCTTAATGTTTCCTTGAAGCTGCAGGTGGCTAGTACTTCTGAAAAGCAACACAAATACCTTTGTTTGAGATCAGAGGTAAGGTGCTGTTTCCCTATTTATAAAAAGATGCAAAACCGTAACACCAAAAATGACATACAACTTATTCATGGCTAAAGCAACACCCTGCAGGAGGGTGAACATGCACAGAGTAAAGAATGCGACTCTACAGCACAAACTGTAATAAAAAAAGTAGGAGGCCTAAAACTATCCTGGTTTAAGTTCCGCTTACCCTGGGGTAACTGGGCATGTCTACATGGGACATAATGTGCAGTAGCCCAACAGCACTGCACAGAAGCACATCATAGCAAATGGCTAATACACTGCTGTGCAGTATTAGGCTACTGTGCAACAGCATCACCAAAAAGATGTTTGCTGATACTACAGTGCAGTACCGTAGTAACTATAATTGCATATACAGGTACTAAATTAAATGAACAGTAAGTACTGCACATTAATGAATGTGTAGATGCACCCACTGTATATGTGAATACTTTCATAGTACAGTAGCTGAGACTTATTTTACCCCACAATAACTTCATCATACTCACACAATATACATTTTTCTACTTCAGAGCATACAAAAGCAGCTAATAGGCCATATACAGGAAGACTTGAACAACTATTCAAAATATAGAAAATACACACTGTAGATGGTACCTTCTATAGCCAGCCCTTAGTTCCAGATACTGATTTCTTACAGTCAGGGGCTGGTTTGCTGTAGAGTTAGGTCTTTGGAAAGAGTGGAAGCAGCTAGCATTCAGGCTAGATCAAACTTAGTTTGAAATTCAAGTTTTAAGTTAGGAGGATTTAAGGGGCAGGGGAAGACAGCTTCCTTTCATGTTATTTAAGCCTAATGATTTAAATAAGGAAAGGCAGAATTATATAGGAATAGAGGGCCTGAAAGTTCATTAATCTGTCCCAAAAGTTGAACTCGCACCCTGGAAGGGGAAGTACTAGCAGTCGGTTACAAAGTACCCACAGAGCCTATCCATTTATCTGTATACAGATCTGTGACTTAGTTTTCTCAATGGGTACAGGGCTTGCTTGCCCTTCCAATGACCATGTAAGCCTGGGGAGGAACTCTCTGTAAAGAAAGCTGTAAATGCCCTAGACAGTCCAGTTCACTTTGGGAAATTCTCCATGCTGGGCAATTCTATTCTGTGCAACTAAAATCCAAACTGCCACTTAGACCTGTGAAGGTGAAATAGGATTTAGCCCTTACTGTGCACCAGGAGTTCTGTAGTAAGTTTCTGGTGGTGGGTGGCAGCGCTCTGTCCCCACCTGTCCACATGTACCCCCTAGGAGCATCCTGCATACTCCCGGTTGGCAACCCCTGCCCTAGGGTAGACAACTCAGATAAACTGCTGCAAACAGTTAACCCTCTTGGCTCAAGTCCTGCAAGAATTAGTGCTGATGGGTCACCCATATCATACAGAATCATCACATGTCTCTAGCCAAAGGAAAACACTTTGAGAAGGTATTTGTGATCATACTACAAGAAGC